TTTTCAAAGGTGGGGTACATCTAGACCCCTTCAGCCTGGGTACCTCCATACACCTGATTCATACTGCTGACAGTTTTGGTTCAGGAGACTCTAGCCCTGGCCACTCATCCCCTCCTGGTTTGGTAGTAGAGAAGATAAAGAACAGATCTGCTCGGTGGGGAGTTGTTGGCTTGGTTTCAGTTTTGTTTGCTTGCTTAAAGTAGCAAGGTCCTTAACTCAGAGAGTTCAGTTTGATAATTCTCGGCTTGCTGGCGTATCCTGGGTCCCTGTGCAGAGCTGTGCAGTCACTCATGCACTCTTGGATCTCTTGTTTCGGTTCCTCTCCTCCCAGCATCCCCCAGCCCCCGTGCATCCGTGCCCAGCATCCCAGTGTCTCTGGTCCCATCTGCGCGGCTCTCCTGGTCTTTCCTTCAGGGCCTTGTCTGTCAGCCTCAGTGCCAGCTCACCTCAGCTCTCCCATGTACATCTGCTCTCCATCACACCCATTTTCCCATTCCTCTTCTGAGCTGCTTTGTGTCCAGGCAGAGTCCCAGTTTTCCTTTGTCGTTGTGCTGTTCCAAGAGATGCATCGGGGTGTCACCATGGCTCCTGCTGCAGAAGGGGAGAGCTCCTCTTCCCCTCTTGGGCTCCCCACATCCATCCCCTGCTTTGCAGCAGTACTGGATGCTAATCAGAACCTTCATGTGAGCTAGCTTAATGAGTTTAAACGACATTAAATTGTGTCAGGAAAATAGTTTTCTTAGAGGAAAATGACTGATACGGGCTTGTGGAAGAAGGACCATGCACATGCCAGAGGGCAGGGAGGAGAACAGTGCAGCAAGGACCAGGGAAGCAGCAGCTCAGACCCCCTTCATCCACTACATCCCATCCCTTTTGGAGGATGTTCCCTTAGGGACCTTCTCAGTGGTGATGTGGGTGCCTGGAGATGCTCCTCCCTGGTTTCGGTGCTGTCCCACGTGGATTCAAAGTGAACGTGTAACTGGAGCTTCAGAAGGTAGAATTTGAAATTGCCAGTGTCCCTCTGAGCCCGCATGTTCTGCGGTTCCTGTATCTGCTCTCTTCCCAAAGCTTTATTTTGGGCAGACTGTATGGCAATGAAAAGAACAACCCTGGAAAAAAAGTTGTGTTCCTAACACATTTCAAATCTGTGCTAAAATAACCAGGGAACAAAATTCCTCAAATAAACATTTGCTGGAATTTTTATATAGAGAAGGTATGTATTTCTTCTCAGCCATTGGTCTTGGAAAGAGCTCAATGCACAGTTTTTTTATTGGGCTTTGGCAGACGATGGGGGATACATAAGGGCAGGCAGTTAGCTGCGAGGTATATGGAAGCAAAATTTGTAACGAGGAGTCTTAATAGTGGATAATGCTGTTATCCCCAACTAGGGACAACTGAAAGAGCTGACAGGAAGCATTTTAATTCTTTTATTTTTAAATTTCAAACTTTTTTTCAATTCTTCCAAAAGGTGACCAAACATTTTTGTTTGGATCCTAACAGGTTGTATAAACTAGGATATTAAAACTTTTATATGTAGTCTGTCCGGAGAAGAAACAATTGGACACTGAGTGTATCATGTACCTTTTCATGGCAATACACTGGTTTTAATTGTTGGGGGAATCAGATTTGTATATTTGGGATATTAGAAAGAGTAGATGAATTTACGAACTAGGATTTAGTACACAGTATCCTCATAAAATCTACATAAATATTAAGTGACAGAAAAAGGCGTAAAAATTTCTTAATAGAAAAGATAATCGGGATTAATTTTAAAGAAAACATTCAGTCATAAACTTTTATTGGGTAACTTCTACGTGTTGCTTTCTCTCCCCATTAGTACCTCTGAAATAGCTTACCTGCAACTATAGTCTACTCTGGGACAAGGTGAAGAGGACTCGTAGTAACACTCCTGCTGTTTTTAATAACCTTAGACTTGAATGCAGCAGCAGTAACCTGTGATCGGCAGGAGCGAGGGAGGGACCTGGCCCTGGGTGGAGGTGGCTGTGGGGAGGTGTGAAAGCACTCCAGTGCTGAGGTGATCCGGGGCTGTTAACCACTCCTCAGTCACTAGTTGCCTGGGAGACAAATGTAATCCAGGGATTTTTTTTCCCCCCCTTCTTTGCTGGTTTTTGATTGAAGCCACTATTGACTTTTGGCTTGGAGGAGGCAGTGAAGCAGCACGCCAAGTGTCATAAGATGGAAATTAATCACTAACCGATGGGTCTGAGTTCCAATGATTTCCTTTCCTGTGATTGCTCTGTATATGGGAAGACTAATGACACATCTAAACAGACAGTTAACGAAGCTCTTCACACCTCTGACAGTCAAGAAGGATTCTTGACCAGATGATGATTCAGTTTTCTTTTTATTTCTGCTCTCTTGTGTGATTGTGGAAAAAACAAAAGTAACTATCGTGAAAAAGGAACTTTGCATGGTTGGAGAACTTTGCCTTAAATTCTGTTCGTTTTTGCTGCTAAATTATGTCAGTCTCATTGCAGTGAAAAAATAGCAAGTCTGCCTTCCCAGTGTTTCTGTTAACAAGGAGTATAATTCTTCTCAATACTTTTTGTGTGAGAGAGTTTCTGGTTTTCAGTGAGATTATTTTTGGCTTTTGCAAGAACACAGAATTTGTTTGGCAAGCCAAACAAATTTAGCTTAACAGTAATGAAAGGTTTTGAAGTTACTCTTCAGCAGTGACTTCATCTTGTAAGGCCTTTAACTTGAACTAACTCTGATGGGTTTTGGGGAGTAATCTCTTCCAGGTAGATGAAAAGTCTGTCTTGGAAATAAATGAAAAAACAGAGACGTTCGGAAACAATATGTTGTGTTCCAGCAAGTACAAATAAGGTAGATGGCATTTAAGCATAGCTTTTTTTTTTAAGCTTATCCCATGCTGTAAGGACTAAGGAATCCAGCAAAGGTTTTATCCTGTAAAATGTTCCGAGTTTTGCACGTTGCTTGCTTAAAAGGAAATTTTATGTTCTTCATGCTCTGGCTCTTGGAGATGGAGCATGGAAGTGGAATTTGGGAGGTTTGGATTCTATTTTTGACTCTGTCCATTGCCTAAAGAGTCACTTACTAGGCTTATCATGTCAAGTCTCTGGCTCATTGTCCCATATTTAAAAGAGGGCTAAAAAAACAACCTCCTTTTTGCAAACTGGATTGAGATGTGTGGCACACAGCTTCCTGCACTGCGGATCTTTCAGTTGTCTGCTGTAGTGCTTTACCGAGAGGAAAGCCCAAGAGTCTTGCTCTCTCTTTCTCTGGCCCCTCGAATCTTGGGCTTTTTGGCCATAAAAGGGCCCCACTTCACCTCGAGAGCTGGAAGATGTCTCCCCTTAGACTGTTCAATAGCCTTCTGGTAAGGCACTCCTGGGAAGTAAGGGGAGAGATGGGCTTGAACCCTGCTGCCCTGAAGAGGCTTGACCCCATCCATGTTCCTGGTTCCACCAGAGCAGCGTGCAGAAGATGGTTCCTTCTTCATCCCCTCCAGCAGATAGATGTGCTAGTTTCTGAAAGAAAGCAGTCACTGCTCCTGCAAGTTGTGCCAGCCCCTCTCCTTTTCTTTGAAGCCAAGTCTCACATGGTCCTGTGAACTTGTAGATGCTACCATAGGCCTATCCAGTGATGTTGGGGAAGGTCTTTCTTCTTCATTTTTCTATTTTTTGAGGGGGGAATTGAGTGTAGCTTTGCCGTTTGTAAGCTCAGAAGGAGGTCTGCACGCACTTCGCGTTGTGTGTCCTAAAGCTATCCATGAGGCAGAGGAGCGCTTAGGAGTTGGTGGGGCTCCACAAAGATGGCAAGCGTCTGGTTTTGGTCTTCCTTGTGACTTTAGAAAATAATATCCCACTTTTGGTGTGATTTTATGTGTGTGTGTGTGTGTTTGCTCTTTGATACATGTTACCAAGAGTCTTGCTCTACTGACAGGAGCTGAGAAAAGGGGTGGCCCTGGGTTGAAAAGCAGCTAGGGGCAGTAGCACAGCCTCCCTTGCCTGTTCCAGAAGATGTCAACATTTACCAAAAATCTTATCATAATGCCTTGAAAGCCTGCCAGTAGGGTTCAGTCGGTAATTAGGATTGGTGTTTGTTTTCACTTATGCTCAAGCAGACCGAGGCCGCTTCTAAGCGATCATTTTATATGCTTTCGTAGTGGAGTCCAGGGAAAGTTGTTTTTCTGTTTGCTTGAGAGCTCACACAAAACAATTCAAAATATCTGCACCCTGACCTCTGGTGAGATTGAGACAAGGGCTGAAATTGCACTGCTCATAACTGCAGAATAGACTGAATTTGAGTATAGTCTTCGCATTACAGATTGACTGCTTGAGTTGCTCTATGTGTCCAGAGAGGGTCATTACAGTAACTGTTGTTTTAACCGATTACAATTTCACAACACCCTTAAATGGTTTAAACTCTGATTATACTGTGGGTTGGTTGGGGTTTTTTTTATGTTTTGGGTATTTTTTTTCCCCTTAGGGGAGAAAAGATGATTAATTTTCTCTTGTAGTATAATGGCACTGATGTCATGTGGTTGAAGGATTAAGTCCTTTTATTTTTAAAACAGTTGCTAGGGTGTTTAAACCCCTCCTTTTTATCCCTGTTTCTTGTTAGTGTAACAGCAAAAGGAAAAGAATCTACTTTCAAAAAGAATCTACTTTTCTTCAGGGTCTTCATTTAACATTTGTAGTTTCTTATTTTTCCAATATGGGGTGATGGGGAAATTGCCAGATATTATTAAATCCTATTAACTAGTAACAAGGGGGGGAGGGGAAAAGCAGCCAAACATTCATTCTTACTTTTCTCTCCCCAGAAATTGTGATTTAAATAATACAGTTGCAATACTTTGTTAGTGGAGTCATAATCTCTGGCAAGCAAACTTATGTTCTCTTCTGTCAGACAAAAAACCCAAACCCACTGCTTTTCCCGACAAATGCTGCTAAATAAATAAGGCTATGCCATTAGATAAAATATTTGATTTTTTTTTAATTCTTTTTTCTTTGCAGAGTATTGGAAAGGGGTCCTTGTGGTGTATAGACCCAGAATATAGACAAAACCTTATTCAGGCTTTGAAAAAGACACCCTATCACCCATACTCGCATGTGTTCAGTACACCTCCCACATCTCCTCAGGCATATCAAAGGTAAGAACTAGATGCATTTTCAATTCTAAATGTTTTCCTCCAGTGTTGCATATGGATCTCGGGTAAGACGTTAAATGTAATTAAGCTGTGCAGTTTGGAAATGTGCTAGCAAAGCAAGCCCAGGAGTGCTGGCGGCATCCTGGCCTTGCTCAGCGTGTGTCAGGGACGCCTGACCTGCCCGTCCCTGGGTGTGACTGCAGCGGGTCCCCGCGCGGGACTGCAGCCCTGCTCCCGCGTGGGCCACACAGCCTTTCGGGGAGGGACGCCTGACATCAAAATCATATAAGCAAATGGAGAGCTCGGAAATGTCCGCTTATCCCCTCGGCAGTGAGCACAGGACCCTTGCGGGGAGGAGAGGGGCTCATTTGTTTCCCCTCAGTGGGCTGGGGGGCCAGGGTTGCCTGTGCAGCCATCGGGTCTCCCCGCAGGCCCTGGGCCCCGGCGACTGCAGCAGCCATGGCTGTAGTTCGGGGCTCCCCACGCGGGTGCCAGCCCTCCAGGGTGTCCCAGAGGGGAGAGCCATGGCTGATTTTCTGCCTTGCTCCAGCGGAATAGGTGTGGGGCGGGTTTTTTTCATTTGACTTCCATTTGTTTTTGTTCTGGCCGAAGGGGGGCAACGGGAGAGAGATGATCTGTGACTGCCGTTCGCCAAGCGGGGAAGCGAGCGCCGGGTTTTGACACAACTGCCGCCCCCTCACTGCTAATACGGACATTGGTTCGTTTTTCCAAGTGGGGCAGCGCATCGCGGCTGGGTCAGCAGCGCCGGTCATGGCCGGTGCTGTGCCGCACCCCACACCGTCAGGGGGGTG